CTATGGATCCTTGTAAGATTGATGTTGTGTTACAGTGGGAGACTCCAAAGTCTACTACTGAGATACAAATTTTTCTGGGGTTGGCAGGTTACTATCGCAAGTTCATAGAAGGTTTTTCTAGATTGGCTTTACCGTTGACTCAGTTGACTCGAAAGTGTTAAGCTTATGTGTGGGACGTTGCTTGTGAAGAGAGCTTTATGGAATTGAAGAAGAGATTGACAACCGCTCCAGTGTTAAATTTGCCTAATCTGAATGAATCTTTTGTGGTGTGTTGTGATGCATCGAAGATGGGTCTTAGTGGAGTGTTGATGAAAAATGGACAAGTTGTTGCTTATGCTTTAAGAGATTTGAGAGTTCATGAAAGGAATTATCCTACACATGACTTAAAGTTGGCAGTTGTGGTGTTCGTGTTGAATATTTGGAGACATTATCTTTTTGGCTATAAATTTGAGGTGTTCAGTAATCATAAGAGTTTGAAGTACTTATTTTACCAGAAAGAGTTGAATATAAGGCATAGGAAGTGGTTGGAATTATTGAAGGATTATGATTTTGATTTGAGTTACCATCTAGGTAAAACAAATGTAGTGGTTGATGCATTGAGCAGGAAGTCTTTGCATATGTCGATGCTTATGGTGAGAGAATTGGAATTAATCGATCAGTTCCGAGATCTGAGTTTAGATTGTGAAGAGACTTCTGACAATGTAAGTTTGGGTATGTTGAAGCTGACTAGTGGTATTCTGGAAGAAATCAGAGTGGGTCAGCAATCTGATTTGAAGTTGGTTGATCAGTTGATCTTAATTAACCAAGGTAACGAAGGTGAATTCAGGATTAATAAGAATGATGTGATGAATTTCAGAGATGAAGTGTGTGTTCTAGATGTTCAAGATATTAAGAAGAGTATTCTAGAGGAAGGGCATAAAAGTAGGTTGAGTATTCATCATGGTGCTATGAAGATGTACCAGGATCTGCATAAATTATTTTGGTGTCCAGGTATGAAGAAGGATATTGCTGAGTTTGTATATGTGTGTTTGACTTGTCAGAAGTCGAAGATCGAGCATTAGAAGCCTTTGGGTATGATGCAACCGTTGAATATTCCAGAATGGAAATGAGATAATATTTCCATTGATTTAGTGTCGGGATTGCCAAAGACTGCGAAAGAGAATGATTAAATTTGGGTGATTGTAGATAAATGAACTAAATCAACTCATTTCTTATCGATGAATATTAATCATTCCATGCAGAAGTTAACTGAGATGTACATTGAGAAAATTGTGAAGTTGCATGGGATACCTTTGAGTATTGTGTCAGATAGAGACCCGAGATTTACGTCAAGGTTCTGGAAAAGTTTACAAGATGCTTTAGGTACTAAGTTGAGGATGAGTTCTGCATATCATCCGAGACAGATAGGCAGACAGAGAGGACTATCCAGTCTTTGGAGGATTTACTAAGGGCTTATGTGTTGGATCAAGAAGGATCTTGGGACAACTATTTGTCGTTGATTAAGTTTACCTACAACATCAGTTTCATGCTAGTATTAGGATGGCGCTGTATAGAGCTTTATATGAAAGGAGGCATGGGACTTCATTATGTTGGTATGAGTCAGCCGAGAGTGTTATATTTGGACCTGAGATCATGCATGAGACGACTGAGAAGATTAAGATGATTCAAGAAAGGATGAGAGCTTTGTAGATTCGTCAAAAGAGTTATCATGATGAGAGAAGAAAGGCACTGGAATTGCAAGAAGGAGATCACATGTTTTTGAGAGTTATGTCGGTGACTGATGTGGGTCAAGCTTTGAAATCTAGGAAGCTCACTCCATGTTTTGTTAGTCCGTATCATATTTATGCAAAGGATATGGGAGGTAGCATATCAGATTGCTTTACCACCATCGCTTGTGAATTTGCACGATGTGTTTCATGTTTCTCAGTTGAGGAAATACGTTCCAGATCCATCGCATGTGATCCAGATGGATGACGTACATATGAGGGATAACCTGACTGTTGTAGCATTACCTGTGTAGATAGATGGACGAGAAATGAAGCAACTGCGGGGTAAAGACATAACTTTGGTGAAAGTGTTATGGGGTGGACTGCCTGGTGAAAGTTGGACTTGGAAACGTGAAGATCAGATGAGGGAGTCATATCTGACTCTGTTTCCTTCAGGTAATTTTCAAGGACGAAAATTCTTTAAGTGGGGGAAAGTTGTAACGCCCTAAAATAATTATAATATTTATTTAATTTATTTATTATAAATGTTCGTGATTTCGGTGAGTCTTGGTGAAATATTTGATGCCTGCTGATTTGTGTTAAGAGGGTGTTGAGAATATTTAGAAGTATATGATTTATTAGAATTATTTTAATAATAATAATAGTGGATAATGTGAATATCTTATTAGTATTATTGTAAATAAATAATTGGAACACTAAGGACAAAATGGTAAAGTTGGGTGTAATAAGTGAGGATACAGTTGGAAAATCATATTAAGGATCCAAGAGGTAAGAGTGACTTAAAGGAAAATAGGGAAGTGATGAATTCATTCTGAACAATCGTGTTTCGGAGAGCGACTCTGAGGAAAAGCAGAAGAAGAGGTTAGGGCTTAGAGCAATTTCGGAAGAACTCAAGAGGAGGATCAAAATCGAATTCTCTAAGGCATGGGGAGTACCATTTGTCATTATAATTGATATAAGGGTAGATGTATGTAAATAGTTGGAGATTTTAAGAAACATGATAAGATTACGATGAAAGTGGGGTTTTAAGTTGTATAAGATGATATGTATGAAACCTATTATGATGTGTTGTTATTGTTGTGTTGATTTCATTATGATTTATGAGTAATTTTGGACTGACTGGTACTGGAATCGTAAGCCATTTTGGGTCTAAACTGGTGCAGAATCGCAACTGAGAAGTTGCAGGTTCGTGCAGTTTCGCCGGGCGAACTTCCCAGTTTGCTGGGAGAAGCCATTTCTCCCCAGTCTCGTCGGGAGAAAGTGGGAGTGAGAAGAGAGTGAAAAATGAGTACTCCTGGTTTTTCTATGGGGAATGCAATTCGCCCTTGCTTCGCCAGGCAAAACCCAGTCGAGCAAACTGCTTCACCGGGCGAACACCAGGTGAGCATGAACTGTGTGTTTTTTTTTTCTTTTTCTTTTTTTGTACTGCCTTGTGTCTTATTGTATTTATTTTTTGAGTATTTGATGTGCTGCATTTTGATGATTATAATATGTTGATTTGTGATGTCATATGAAGAACTACGACGCATAATGATGATATAAATCTATGATGTTTTGGAGAGTTTTTATGAATGATGATGCAACCTTGATGATCCTGTGATGATGATTATGGCGTTTTGCATCATGCATTCATGACATAGTAAGACTTCGGTCCAATGTTGTTGATATGACTTCGGTCCAATGTTGGCTTCAATCCCATTGTGTGGATTGAGGTGTTTATGTTGTGCTCCGGTTCTTGTGTAGAATCGATCCTATTGGTGGGGATCTTTGGAGGGTGATGACCCAGTGTCCATTAACATGTTGATTTGGTACCACATGCATCAGTCTATATTGTTGCATTTCATGTTATGTGGCATTACATTTATGTGAATGACTGTTATTATTGATGATGTGATCTTAGAATGACGTGTGATGATGTTGTGACTTTAGTGATGCTTTGATAATGAGTTATTGATGTGATGACTTTATGAATAAAGATGTATATATGATACTATGATATTAAGGTGTGCGTATAATACTTAGTAAATGATGATGTTATTTTTGTATGCTGAATGCTATCTTGATATATCTTATCTTTAAATCTTGTATATTGATTTGTGATTACTCACCTTACCTGTTTGAATGTTGGATCCACGTGGGTAACGTGCAGGTGATTAAGATTAGCTCTTTTAGTGCGTGAAAAATTAGCTTTGACGTATTTTGGTCCTTTCTGTTGATTAGAGGGTCTTGCTCTGATATGTAACATCGGGTTGGAACGTTTGAGTAGAACCATTTGTGTTCTTTTTGTTGTTGATCCCATGATACTATGAATTTCTTGTTTTAAGACCTTTGGGTTATAATTTATGATGAAATGTGATTTTTTGTTGCGTAGTATTTGATTTAATATGTGTTGACAGAACCCGTGTTACGGAGTAAGACGTTAATGTGATTTCATGATGAAATATGACACCCTTGCGGTGATATACTCTGATATAATTATTTATATTTATCGTGAATATTCTTTAGGATAAGAGAGTGTTATAGAAGACATATATTCAACCATGCACATTCTTCACTAAGAAATGTAATTGACCGAACAATTGATGTTAGGAAGAAAAAATGACATATTTTATGTGATATAATACCATTTTCACTAATAAAACAACAAAAAATTATAGATACAACAACACTTCATAATTTTATTCGAATATGTGGCATTGTAGATGGAGGAGATTTTAACAAATATGATCATGTTTATGAATATATAACTAGCAGTGCAGAAAAAAGAAATATTAATGTCGATTTAAGTTCATATAATCCAAAAAGAGTATAAGATGGAGGCTATATGAACAAAATTCGAAATCAAATAGCCATTACTTTTATATATATATATATATATATATATATATATATATATATATATATATATAATTTAAAAATAAATTAATATTTTAATTTAATAATTTAATTTACATTAAATGTACCGATACCATGATAAGTAAGAATCTGCTTAATCTCTTATTTTTAACTTTAGCTTTCAAATAGCTTTTAAGATCTAAAAAAGTCGGGCCAAACGATTTCAAAGACCTCTTATCGTGTCTTGTTTATTTTGACGTAGGTCCTTATACCTACAGTTGTGTTCACGGAAGTACTAATATGAAGGGCAAGCATTAAGCAACTGGATCTCCGAACATAGTCACTCACACATCCAAGACCACATAGTAACTCAGTGAGTCACACCACACCCAAACAAACTCCCCAACCCAAACCCTAACCCTAATCCCAATCCCCTCAATGGACGGAGACGACGACACCTCCGGCACGATGATCGACGAAATCTACGCGAACGGCGGCGAAGAGAGCGACCAGCGTAGTCGGAGAGCAATCATGAGCGGCGATCAACTCGATGTCGAAGCGTACGCGGCTCTATACTCAGGGAGGACGAAGATCATGCGGTTGCTATTCATCGCCAACAAAAGCAAGAACCCTACGGTACAGCTTGACACACTTCGCATGGCGTATGATGAGATTAAGAAGGGAGAGAATACTCAGTTGTTTAGGGAAGTTGTGCAGAAGATTAATGGGAGGTTGGGTCCAAACTATGAGATGGATTTGAGTTGGTGTGAAGGGGTTGATCGAAAGGCTGAGCAGAAGAAAGAGAGACTCGAGAATGAGCTTAATGCTTATAGGGTATTTTTCTCTTTTCACGCTTTTGATTTTATCTTTTGTTAATACACGATGAATACTTAATTAAGTTGTTTATCCAAATAGGGCCTTAATCTAAACACAAGCATATGCATAATATTAATAGCTTATTGTTAAGAGTAAAAAAGATTTGAGTGTTGATTGAGATTTGTTGACTGTGTTTAGTTTGTTGTACTTGTTTTATGTATTTTTATCACAATCACAATATCAACTGTTAACTACTATTACTTGCACTGAACCCTTCCAAAGTGTTTAACTGTGCCCTTATGTTAAAGGATCCAAAATACTGATATTTTATTTAAACTGTTTTGTTGGACTAGATACTTTCAATTTTTTGTATTGTTATTGGTTGGAATTTGTGTAACATTTGTTTCTGTTGATGCTTCTAGTTTTGACTGGCTGTATTACATTCAGAAACCTTGTGGGCTTGATGTAGGTTTTGCTTTTTGTTTGGATAGGGCATCAGTACATTACGTTTTCCATGCTTTTTTTTTGTTAGTGGGTTATGTATGTAGCTCGAGAGATATTTTGATGGTGTTGTATTCAAGGTAGTCAAAATCGAGATCCTATATGGGATCGGGGTCACAAAATCGTGAATCGGAGTATTGTAACACGGATCGTACGATCCTACCAATTTCACGAACTGATATATATTCCATGTATATTCATATATAGAACATAATTTTGTTAACACAATTAAAATAACACAAATTTAAGGAGAAAAGTTTAAAAGGTGTACATAAGAAAGGGAAAGGCTCAAAGTATATGTCCTGAATTAAAATTAAAAGAAGTGAAGCAGGTATATTTAAACTTTGAAAATTTTAAAGTGCGTGAGCGAAATATGGAATACAAAGTGTTCAGAGAACTAATAGATTTAGTGGCTATATTGGGAAGTTTTGAAAAAATAATGAGTGTTGGAATTTAATTGTAAGTAAGTGTGAGAAATAACTGCGGAACATGTTACGGCCAAAAAAACCCTATTTCAGAAGTTTCAGAACTGAAACGGCAGGAACTACAATCCTACCGCTCCAACTGTTTTTGCACTGCGATCCCACCGTTCCGACATAAATACGAGTTTTTTCCTTCACAGGATCGCCAAGCCTATCAAAGATCACAAAATCGTACGATCCTACGAGTGGGATCGCAATTTTCACTACCATGGTTGTATTGATGAAAAGAAAGGTTTGTGCAGATAGTTGCGTGTACCATGTTTTGCGAACTTCTGAGGGTAGATGGTTGGGATTAGCGATTGTGTACCCTCAGGCTGGAAATTCTACTTAATCTTATAATTGGTTTCTGTTTTAGTACTTGGAGGAAACATTATCAATCATTCAAGATTATATTGTATTGTCTAGTTATTTCTATTTGATACTGTTGTGAATTCTGAAGTAGTGTCTACTGGAGCTTTACCTTATATCTAGAGCTAGGTGTTTGACATATGAAAGTGTAATTTTTCATAATTGGCATTATAAAGTAGCTAGATAGATTCCACCCAAACCCAAAAATAAGGATAAAAATACGGAGCTACATAAATAGGTTTACTACTGGGAATGCCTCATTTTATATGATATTTTAATATGTCCTGCTCTTTCCTTTTCCTTTTCCAACTACCTTAATTAAACTACTGTTCAGGATTTCGTTTATTTTTTTTCAGACAAACTTGATCAAAGAAAGCATACGAATGGGATACAACGATTTTGGAGATTTTTACTATTCTCATGGTCAACTAGGAGATGCTTTTAAAAGTTATGTCCGTACCCGGGATTATTGCACTACGTCAAAGCATATAGTTCATATGTGTTTGAGTACGATTCTTGTCAGCATTGAGATGGGGCAATTTTCTCATGTCTCAAGCTATGTTAGCAAGGCAGAACAGGGAACAGATGCTCTTGACTCGATAATAATTTCCAAGCTACGATGTGCCGCAGGATTGGCAAATCTAGAGGCCAAAAAGTATAAGCTTGCTGCTCGAAAGGTCTTCTCCTTTTCTCTCTTTTTGACTCTAATTCTGCTCAGAATACTAGATCACTCAAGGACTACTGCATGATCTACGAAACTCTGATCTGGAGTTCGAGGATTTTCATTTATCATTGTTTGATGCATGATAACCTATTGACTTTTCTTTGGCAATCACATTTCCATGATTTAATGCAGTTTCTAGAAACAGGCCCAGAACTGAGTAGTCACTATAATGATGTAATTGCATCTCAAGATGTTGCAACATATGGGGGACTTTGTGCACTTGCAACATTTGATCGAGCGGAGTTAAAGGCAAGTTTTACATTATATTTTCGTGATAATCCTTCTTATAAATAACTATTCAGACACATCGATGACACTGTCTTCATGATTTTATTCCATATATTATGCAGAGTAAAGTTATAGATAATTCCAACTTCCGGAATTTCTTAGAGTTAGTACCTGAAGTAAGGGAACTGATTAATGACTTTTATTCAAGGTAAGTGGGTGTGAGTGCTCTCTGTTCTCTCTGCTATTCTCTTATGTTTTCTATTAGTAAAAATATAATTGGGGTAGCTGTATGCTTTACAGTACATGTAATTATGGTAATTAGGATACCTATAGTTACATGTAATTATAGTAATTAGGATAACTATAGGTACGTGGTATGTTATACACTTCCATCTCATAGTTTAGACATCCAGTTTTATCTCATATCTCTTTTCTTGTCTTAATTCACATGGTCTATGTGACATTACTTAATACACATCACTTTTTTTTCATGCTCAACTGAATTAAAGGTGAATTTACTAGTCTTGATTAGGCTGAGTTGCACTGGGCATTTCATTATGTGTGGTACTAAGCTGCTTGGCTGAAAAATCACCGAAGTTTTAAAGAATGGATTGGAATATTTGCGGAAGACAATATAGCTGTGAATTCATTAGATACTGATAGTTAGACTTAATTGATATTTATGGGGTTAGTTTATTCTGTCCTTTCAATTTGTGCTTAGAAAATTAAAACATTTTAAAAACGGATTTTGATTTTGATTATATAGATAATGGTAATAGCGGACTTGTTACATCTGTTATCTTGCTCAAATTGTTTGTATCACACACTTTGTTTGATATCTCTCTGTGTATGTAAACAATGATCACTTTTATTTGTCTTTGCAGCCACTATGCTTCCTGTCTGGAATACCTTGGCAACCTCAAAGCAAATCTGTCACTTGATATACATTTGCATGACCATGTCGAGACACTTTATGATCTAATTCGTCACAAAGCCCTTATCCAGTATACACACCCATTTGTGTCTGTTGATTTGAATATGATGGCTAATGCATTCAAGACAACTGTTGTTGGACTTGAGAAAGAACTCGAAGCATTGATTACTGATAATCAGATACAGGTCTGGTTTGAGTTACTATGTCCTGTTTCATGTTATGCATGTCCAAATAAATTTGGCATATGATTTTAAAATTTTCAATGCTTAAAGAAAAACCTGTCTTAGGACTTGAACGGCTCATGATTTACTGAACCTTTTGGATCTGTGCAGGCTCGAATTGATTCACACAACAAAATATTGTATGCACGGCACGCAGATCAAAGGAATGCCACCTTTCAAAGGGTTCTAGAAACTGGAAGGGAATTTGATCGGGATGTTCGTTCCATGTTGCTGAGATCAAATCTAATTAAGCATGACTACAATGTTAGGGCATCAAGGAAACTTTGATCATGAATTGAAGACAATGGGGCTGAGATTGCTGTTTGAAAGATGGTTTCCCTACCTTATGGCGGGTTGAATCAAGGCTGCAGCAAAATAGTAATTGTACAACATTTAACTATACTTTATGGTTGCTTTTTGTATATACTCTTTCATAGTTTAAATCAATCCGTCACTAGATCCCCATTTCTTTTCTTTTTTCCCCCTGTTTTGTTTATGTATTGTTCCTCTATCAGAAGAGAGCTTTAACACAAAATATGCATTGGAGTGACTTTTCAATTCTCTTTTGGAATTAATCTCAAAAAAAAAAAAAAAACAGAAAAATGCATAGCTTTAAACTATGGTAAATAATGTAGTTAACTATAGAAGAGGCTGAAAATAAAGTTAACCGTGGTTTGAGTTAGCTTTCTTAAGAATTATATCTAATTTTATGCTACCTATCATGTCAAACTCAGCTGACCTTGCTACATATCACAATTATCAGCTTTTTAACCATACAGATCAAGCTTAAATGTTATTACAAACAGTACTATACACCAGATAGTTCACATATTCTAAATAATATTAGTAACGTTGCAAATTTCTTTCACTAGATACATAAACAAATAATCACAACGACGGAAAAAAAACATGAACAAACCTAAATGGCTGCCTCCTTACAATGACAGCATGTTGGAGAAGATAATCAACAGGTACAACCATAGTAAGTACTTTCAAAATACGATAAATTTCACCTTCCCAATTCAACTCATCTTGACATTCTTTAACAACATCCTCACTTTTCAAGTTTAATATCTTCTTCACTCTTCGGTCCAAATATTATCTAATTGCTCCAAGCAAATTGGCACCATCAAGTCTTGATCCTTCCAAGTCCTGATTTATAAAAAAGGACCGATCATGTAAGTTTATAGTATTTTGAACAAAAGAATAAACTTGCCATCTTTTTCCACCCACTATATCCTTTTACTGGCTTAATTAATGCTATTATCCTTTTGTTGCATTTTCTTTTTCCACCCACTATATCCTTTTGCTGGCTTAATTAATGCTAGTTATCCTTTTGTTGCATTTTTATGTTTTTTTTTTCCGAAAACATATTTTTAGAAATTTTTTAGAGATGCATTCTCAAAATAAATTTATCTGAAAAAAAAATTCTCATATGGTAAATATCAGGAAGGGAGATTTATTAGATAAAAAAAGTTACTCCTCTCACTTTATGAGCCACCTTGTGAAATGCCAAAATGCTTTTCGCAACGTCTCGTCTGAATATTAGAATTCAGACGTGCCTATTTAACAACAAAATAACTTTATTATAGAGACACTCTCATTCTTTTTAATATTAATCTCTGAATAATATCCACCTTTGAACAGTGTTTAACTCATGCAAGCGTGTTTATTTCACAGTCTAGGGATGAATGCAAAATTTAAAATTCAGACTAATAAACTAATTCAGACTAATAAACTACTTGACAATAATTTCTTTTAAAGTTTAATATTTCTAATAAATTTTATATACAAAGTATACGTAAATGCTATTCAATTAAACCATACAGATTTGTCATTCAATTAAAATACCATATATTAAATCAAAATGATGGTAAAGATGTTACTACTATACATAATTCGTTATCAAATAGCCAAACATTATTGTTCACATAATACAAACCATAATACAAATTATTAAAATGTTATTATCAAAATACAAAGAAAAAAAGTTAATTACTAAGTATATTTGCCCCCCTCGATTCCTCCTCTACCTCTTGTACTGCAAGGCGTGCCATATCTCGACTATCATGACCTGTATAGTGGCCATCCCAAGAGTACCTTTCTAAAACTTTCCCCTCTCTATGTGCGCTTTCTCAATGACCACAATATGCTGACAGATCGACAACACAATAATGACATGGTCCGCCTTAGTCTGCTCATATTATAATATCTCCTGATGAGTTAGCCTATATAGATCTCCCTCTGCATCTAGTGTCATGTAAGGATGTCATATTCTATAAAACCATTTAATATAACTGTATACCACATCCCATGGACGAGGAGATGTCACGCGACATACATCCGTTGAGACCAGATGACCATAGGACACCTTAAATATCTAATCAACATCTTTGCAGAGGAAAATAGGAGGAGAAAATGCGGATGTGACTCTAGAAATACCCTACGTATACATGAACAACCACATGACTCGCTCAGGTAAATATAGACACATCAATCGTGGCCTGTAGCCAGTCGGTCAGAGTAGAAGGCTATCATATCAAAGGGGCATGCCTGATGGTGATCAACATATGGCATAAAACATGTATCATTTGCCGTAATGCGGTCAAGATAAACTCGAAATGACCTGATTGTCTGATTTCCTTTGAGTGGGATGATGGAGTAAGCACATGGCAAATTCTGAAAGAAATCTTCCGCATATGCCCAGCTGGAAAGACGTGAAATGTGTTGATGTATCTATGCCTAAAAATGGTTCAAATAAAATATTAGTAACAAAGTAGCACAAGTATTATCCAATATTAGTTACAATATATGTGACAAAATATTACAGTAAATAGACAGTTGTTTCACGCCAGCTGTCTAGTCTTCTATAAATAAGCGTCACCTAACTTTAAGTAGAGGTAAACCAAACATGAGCCCCCTGTTGTACTCATGAATCCTCTCCAACTCAGTGAAGTATTCAAGATAGATGACATCGATATAAGTTGCATTTTTGTCCACAAACCAAACCATGATGTTCAATACATATCCTCTATGATACACAATCCGTACATCATCATCATCGTCCTTCACTTTCGCTGCCAGATGGTCTTTATATAGCGTCTCCAAGAATAAAAATCTACATGACATCCTCCAGTGTCATCTATCACCTTTTGGGCATCACCTGAGTCAGCTACCAAATAGGCCACCATCATGTCCAGTGCCTCAGGTCTACTAATTCTTGAGTAGTTTAATAATCTCCCGGTGATCGGAAGATGTAAAAGCGATGACACATTATCAAGTGTGATGGACATCTCACCAATTAAAAGATGAAATGACGATGTCCCTAGGTGTTATCTCTCCATAAAAGCAGATAACAAACCATAGTTAATATAACCATACCCAGTCACGTATCAATATTGTAGCCTAGATAGATGGATGACATCCTGAAACTATGGTTCATTAGACTGCGACAGCTTTGCGATCTTCCTACCGAGATTGATACATTTCAATGTATCACGGTGCTATAAAAAATAATACACCATTGTCAGAAAACTCAAATCTTATAACACAAATGTTTAAAAGAATAATTATAACTTTATGTTACCCCTCCATTTCACACATGCCTAATAGCATGGTCTGGATACAAATAAAGTAGTGAAGAGTCTGAGGGGCTTCATGGAAAAACATCAGGAACATCAATAGGAGGTTCAACAACATGGAGTTCTAGGTCAGCAATTGGGGACACGTGTCTCTAGAAAGACGAGGTCGGAGATACGCTAACTCAGGAAGATGATGTTTATGCATCAAATGAAGTCTCACCAACGCTTCTAGCTTTTTTTCTCCAAACATAAGATGTTTATACCACAAATAACTTATTTAAGTAATGCTGCATCATAAATAAGAAAAAGTAAGGAAATGAAAATTTACTAAATTGTGAGAAAGCTTTAAAAATGAGAAACCTCAATTAAAAAGTGGAGTAGAGGTTGAGTGATATCCTAACTTTTAATGTAATGAGTAGAAGTAGTGAGAAAATTTGAAAAATGATGAAAATTAAATTTGCTCATGAATTCTATTTTTGAGGTCTATATAACTTTTTGAAATGAAGAAGAAAGAGGAAAGTATCTGACGAAGTATATTAATCAAACGCGTTAGAAGATTAATCTTCGTAAAAATTACAGAAATTAAAATCTAAATTATTTTAATGTTGTTTTGGTCTTACTTTAAAATATAAGTGTGATATGGTGAAAAAAGAGAATGGGTTTTCCGAATTTCTATCTCTAACTTTTATTTATTTATTTTAGTTTTTACATCTTCTATTTAATGTATTTTTTTTTCCATTTTTAGATACATTTAAATAATAAAATCCAAAATTCAAAAACATTATTGAATTTTCACCCAAAACACGTGGGAACAACAATCCCCTAAAAAAATTGATATGAGTGAGTAAAGCATACAATAATGTTAAAATAGCACATATGATTATTTGTGGGTTGGTTGAGATTCACGTCATTCAACCCATTGACTCCCAAAGAGTAAACAAAACACACAAACATGTCAAATTTACGAGAATGAGTGTTATTATAATCTCTCAAAAGTAAGTGGATCTGCCACTGATTTTCTATTACATGTGTATTTGACAAAAAAACCAATTCCCTAGTTTATAGATGATATTTATATTGTTTAACAACCATCATTCTTTTGCATGTGTATATTTATATTGTTTGACAACCATCATATTAATCTATATTAATATTTTTTAAATCAATTTTTTAATCTACTTTTAAATTGTGATTGAAATGTGTATATTTGCATTGCCATGTATATATTTTAGTAGCTTTTACATGTTTTTGAATGCTATTTAAAGTAGCATTTAAGTTTAAAGTGGATTAATTTTCTCCTAGCTTGACCATATCTTATGTGTTATTTGTTGATGATTTGAATTTGAATTTGATTTATGTTCTTAAACTTTGCCTTGATAATAATTGCATTGTTACATTTGATCATGATAAATGTTGGATACATGAAAAGAAGACTTTGAAGATGATTGGTTTGGATGAACTCATAGAGGGACTGTATTACCTAACCATACAAGACACACCAGTTACCATAGCCACATCTCAAGCAAATTCCTCCACATTAGTTCCTAATAAAACTCTTTTGCATTTCAGGCCAGAGAATCTTTTTAATGCTAGATTTTTAAATTTACGTAACAAATTTCCTTTTGTAAATATTGATCATAATTATATTTTTGATATATGTCACTATGCTAAATATAGAAGGTCAAAATTTTCTCTTAGTACTAATAAAGTTGACAAATGTTATGAAATATTTTATTTTGACATTATGGTCCGATCTCTATTCCTTTTGCGCATGGCCATAAATATTTTTTTTAATTTAGATGATCATAGTAGATTTACTTGAATCATTTTGTGGAAATCCAAATATGAAATACCTTACCTTGTTAAAAAATTATTAACAATGATTGAAACACAATATCATTGTCATGTAAAAATTGTGAGAAGTGATAATGGACTTGAGTTATTAATGCCTCATTTCTATGCATCCAAATGGATAGAACATCAAATTAGTTGTGCTGAGACTCCCTAACAAGATGGCCGTGTTGAAAGAAAGCATCAATATATCTTAAACGTTGAAAGGACATTGTTTTTCCAATTAAAATGACCTAAACAATATTGGTCCTATGAGGTCTTACAAGCCACTTACATCATTAACATAACTCTCAGACCAATCTAGCAAAATACGTCACCTTATTTTCATAAATTTGGTGATCACCTCGAAGTCAATGAACTCAATTTATTTGGGTCCATATGCTATGCCTTACCATTCAAAATCATATAATAAAGTTGGATGTTAGAGTTAGAAAGTTTCTTTACTTAGGGCACAAGCAAGTTGTTAAAGGAGTTGTTTTACTTGACCTAAACACTAAAGCCTTTTTTATTTCTAGACATGTAACTTACCATGAACATGTCTTATCGTATCATAACTGGAATCTACATTTTCATTGGAATTATCACTCCACTCACCTCATTTCTACCCGTCTTGATATTTACAATCTCTCATTATCATTCATATGCTAACATTTCCAATGAACAAAACAAAATTTCCATGTCCCTTAATGTTGATGATGATCATGTAAGTTATAATCAAGCTAACACTTAAGAATGTTATGTTCAAGCCATGAATTCTAAGTTACAAGCCTTGCAACAGAATACAATTTGAATTTCACAAACACTCATACATATATCAAACCCATATGAAGCATATGGGTTTATAAAGTGAAATAGAAGGTAGATGACACAATTGAAAGGTATACGACAAGGGTGGCTGCAAAAGGATACAATCAGATAACATTTATCAAATCTTGCCATTTACATAAGTTAGATGTAAACAATGTATTCTTATATAGTGACTTGCAAAAGAAAGTTTACATGACTGTTAGCTCAAGCTTTTACAAGCCCTTAAACCTAATCAAGTTTGCAAGCTACTCAAGTTCCAATATAGTCTCAAACAAGCAAGTAGAAAATGACATGAAAAATTGACAGATGTCTTGCTTGACCCATGGTATAAAAAGTCAACATTAGATCATTCTTTTTTCTTACTTCATAAGGATTCTCCTTTCACAATTCTCATGGTATATGTAGATGGTGTAATTCTAACATGAAACCCCCTAGATGAATTCGATAAGATCAAGATGATTTTGGACTATCAGTAAGGTTAAAGACCTTAGCTAGTTGAAATATTTTCTTGGAATTGAGGCAACTCATTCAAATATTGGCATAACCATATGTCAAAGAAAATACTGCTTTGATTTGCTAAATGGTATATGATTGCTTAAAGTTAAACTTGCCATGACACCTCTTGACCCCTCAATAAAATTACATAGTATTCATAAGCTCCTTTTGAAAATGTTGCAAGCTATAGAAAACTTGTAGAAAAATTTCTCTATCTAACCACTACAAGACCCAATATTGTCTTTGTCATGCAACAACTAAGCTAATTCCTTACTTCACCTACCATTACTCACTATGAGATTGACCGCAAAGTCATAAAATATCTCAAAAGTTCACCTGACCGAGATCTTCTATTCATGAGAGATGCGTAACTGCAATTACTTGATTTCAACTATGAATATTTGACAAGTTGCATTGACACTAGGAAACCTACTAATGGTTATTACTTTTTTCTTAGTTCATCCTTGATTTCAGGAAGAGCCAAGAAACAACATACAATGTCCAAAAGTTATTTTGAGACATAACATAAAACTCTTTCTTTTCCTAAGCTTCAATAACTTGTCTCATTACTTGGAGAATTAAAAGTCAAACGTACTGAACCTTCAGTTTTGTATTGTGACAATCTAAATGTTATCTATATTGTTGCTAATCCTATTTTCAATGAGAGAACCAATCATCTTAAAATTAATTGCAATTTTATTCGAGAAAGAATCTAACCGAAAATGTTCAAGCTACTTCGAATTTACACCAAAACTGATTGTTTTTACCAAGCCCTTGCCACCAAGCCATATCATTCTTTTTATCTAACTTCAACATGGTAGATTCAATCAAACAATAAATATCATTATTTTTAATAAACTTTAATAAAATATTATATTTAATTTTTTATTTAATCATTATAATATTCAATTTTTTTAAATAAAATTTCTAAAAAGTTCATCCATCATTTTATAGAACTTCATGCTAAACACACACTAGATTTTTAATCATTACTTACAACTAGTAGCCTAGGGCTGGAAATGAGTCGAGTCGAGTCGAACTCACCTCAGCTCGGCTCGACTCGTTAAGATTTGTTCGAGTTCGAGTTCGAGTTCGATTTCAACACGAACTTTTTTTTAAGCTCAAACTCGACTCGTTATAAGTTCTCGAACAGTTCGGTTCAACTCGTTAGGTTCATCTCATTAGGTTCAGTTCACATGATTCACGGACTTAAAAGCTATTTTTTTTACATATATATATTTTTTAGTATATTTGACATTTTAAATAAATATATTTTTTTAAAATAAAATATTTAAATAAAATAAAAGTTATCATATTGAAATTTAACTTTATCTTCGAAATCTACTAATTCAAAACTTACACAACTTTCAAGAGATACATCTGAGAGTCTAATTCAAAAACTACTAAATTGAAGATTAAATTTGTCTAAGATTTGGAGTAAATATTTAAACCTAATCTTAAAGACAGTATAATTTTTCTCATATGTAATCGAGTTGACTCATGAACCTAACGAGTCGAACTATGTATAGTTCAAGTTCAGCTCATTTAGTTAACGAACTTAATTTTTCGCTCATACTCAACTCATTTGGTTCATGAACCTAGTTCAACGATTTAATTGTCGAATCGAATTTCGAACTATTTTCGAGTTGGTTCGGTTCATTGCCGGCCCTAAGCCTAGATAAATAACATTAGAGTTTACAACAGTCTCTGAAGCACTTACCTTAGATCCGGTCAGCCGGTCTCTTCCTTCAAACAAAAATCTTCCCTTCACACACAGTCAGTTGAAATTCTTCATCACCGTCACACCATTTTCAGCACAACAACACTTTACTTCTAAATCCAATCTCTATCTTCCAAACTCTTCCACAAAAATGCATCAAACCCCAAATCATCTCACACTCTAATTTCATCAGATCCATCTTCTTTCCCAAATGGGTCACGTAAACCTCCCAGCTTCAAAGCGAACCAGCAACATCAACCTCATCTACAACCCCCGTCAATGGCGTCTTCTAGACCTTATATCCGCCGTCTTCTTCGGTTTAGTGTTCCTTTTCTTCGTCCTTGTTTTCACGCCGCTTGGTGATTCTCTTGCAGCTTCTGGCAGGCAGACGCTGCTGCTGTCGGGGTCTGATCCGCAGCAGCGTCTCCGGCTGGTGGCTGCAATTGAGGCGGGGCAGCCTCGGGTTGTTGAAGCGTGTCCCGCTGAGGCTGTGGATCACATGCCGTGTGAAGATCCGAGGCTTAATAGTCAGTTGAGTAGAGAGATGAATTATTATAGAGAAAGACATTGTCCAATGCTGGAGAATACGCCGCTTTGTCTTGTTCCTCCGCCTCGGGGTTACAAGATTTCAGTGCAGTGGCCGGAGAGCTTGCATAAGGTATGAACTATGAAGCATAATAATTTAAGGGGGTGTTGGATGGATCTTTGGATGAGAGTGTTTAGTTATATGTTTGAGTTTTGAGATTTTGAAACAATAGATAAATTAACATGATAGATGATCATATAGTATTGCTATCATATACTTAATTCATTTTTAGAAACACCTATAGCTTCTTTAACTTAGAAAAGAAGCCATGGAATGTAATCTGAGCAATGTGTTGTGTTGAACACTAATTAGACACTAGACACCAAACACGTCTTCAATATGATTTGTCAGTGTTAAATAGGATATGTATGATGAGAATGTTTTGGATGTTCAAGAATGTTGGTGAATTAATGAGTTCTTTTGTTTGAATTTTGGTGCTTCGCGCTTGAATTTTGCTCGATATGATTTTAGAAGATATGAGCTTGATTTTTTTGGTATGTTTTAGTTTGGTATGGAGATATCTGATTGAGAGTTTTCTAGTGTGTGGTTATTGGTTAAGTTATTAGTATCTAGGTTTTGCTTTTTATGTTAAATGCAATGTCATTTTATAGGTAATTGGTGATTTGATCCAATGCTTTGTTTAAATTATTTGGCTACCATGCGTCGAGGTAACTTTGATCTTACATACGGCATTTGGTTCAATGGACAATAAATTGTATATCCAAAATGGGGAATAATTTGTTTTGTGAAAGGCGTTTTTGTTGGATGATATGTTTGAATTTGTTAATAAAGGATGCTTTCAGCTATTAGTCTGTAGTGTGAATGTGAAGTGAGAAAAAGGTGATAGAGAGATAGAAGAATAAGAAAAAGTTGGAAAGAGAGAAGAAAAGACAAAAGTTGAGCAAAGTAACGCTTGCCTGATATCATGAAACGTTCCGTGTTTTCATTTTAGTTGCAAAAATTTCATTTTGTTTTTTGTTTTTAGATAGTTGTATAGTAAATGCTGAACTTAATGTTTGAACGATTTTACTATTTTGCATACAAATCATGATAAAGAATAATAAAAGTGAAATTAAAGTTGCATTCTAATAAATTTAATAAGGTGAATACAATAATCTCTTAAAACTAATAGGCCCAAAATTACCAATACCAGGCCATGAATAGCTAGTTCCTTTAACGGATCTCTCGAGTAATTGAAAATCCTCTGTTAACATTCTTTCTTTATATACCCTGCTTGCTTATTCTCATTTACGTTTGACGAGACACTTCAACGTCATGTTATAAAATAGTTTATAATGTTTAGATGTTTGTTTTTACTGATCCATCCATCGGTCTAAAAGCTTTAATATATCATTTGTAGATATGGCACAGCAACATGCCACACAACAAGATTGCTGACAGGAAAGGTCACCAGGGATGGATGAAACTTGAAGGTCCACACTTTATATTCCCTGGAGGTGGCACAATGTTCCCAGATGGAGCAGAGCAGTATATTGAAAAACTTGGTCAATACATTCCAATGAATGGCGGCGTTCTGAGGACTGCTCTTGATATGGGATGTGGGGTAGGAGCTATTTCTTGTTTCCTTTATTGACCGTAGTAAAATTTTGGAATGTATTATTGTTTAACGTGCAACTGCAAATATTTCTAATGTTTTACAGGTTGCCAGTTTTGGAGGATTTTTACTATCGCAAAACATTGTAACAATGTCTTTTGCTCCAAGGGATTCACACAAGTCACAAATACAATTTGCTCTTGAAAGAGGAATACCAGCTTTTGTTGCCATGCTTGGTACTCGCAGACTTCCATTTCCTGCATTTGGCTTCGACTTAGTCCATTGTTCTCGATGTTTAATTCCTTTTACAGCCTACAGTAAGTTCTCCCCTGCACCTCACTTTTCCGTATGTTACAAACTTCTTAATAGACGTTGCTGCTCTAATTCAGAAACCGTGTCTCGCAGATGCAACTTATTTCCTTGAAGTTGATAGATTACTCCGCCCCGGTGGATATCTGGTCGTATCTGGTCCACCTGTCCAGTGGCCTAAACAAGATAAAGAGTGGTCTGACCTCCAGGGTGTGGCAAGAGCGTTATGTTACGAACTGATTGCCGTAGACGGCAACACTGTCATCTGGAAGAAGCCAGCGGGGGATCTGTGTCTTTCAAACCAAAACGAGTTCGGTCTTGAGTTATGTGATGAATCAGATGATCCCAATTCTGCTTGGTAATTCTATTACGCCATTGTTAGTTTGAGTTCATTTTCCCTCTTATTATCTTTGTTTCACATTTTCAATGTTGCAGGTACTTCAAATTGAAGAAATGCGTCAGTAGGCTATCTTCTGTGAAAGGAGAATATGCTATCGGGAACATTCCCAAGTGGCCGGAGAGGCTAACTTCCCCGCCACCTAGGTCAACACTCCTGAAAAATGTTGCTGATGTATACGAAGCTGACACTAGGCGATGGGTAAGAAGGGTTGCACACTATAAAAATTCTCTAAACATAAAGTTGGGGACTGCAGCTGTACGGAATGTCATGGACATGAATGCATTCTTCGGAGGTTTTGCAGCAGCACTAAAGTCTGATCCCGTGTGGGTAATGAATGTAGTTCCGTCTCGCAAGCCGTCGACTCTTGACGTCGTCTTTGACAGGGGTCTTATTGGAGTTTATCATGACTGGTGGGTTTTCGCTGAAAATTTCAAGCTTTTTTTTCTTCGTATTTATCTTTTGCCTCAATCAATGTTGTTGGCACCTTTATTTAAATACCGTCGAAAGCAGTATTGTGAGTCATGGATAACCTTTGCGACCACTGCATATGAACATGTATTACAGTTTAAAACAGGTTAATATTTCGGATCTAAGTTGTTTCTTTACTGTTCTCAGGTGTGAACCTTTCTCGACATATCCTCGCTCCTATGACCTGATCCACGTGACGAGCATTGAATCACTTATAAAGGATCCAGCCTCCGGCAAAAGCAGGTATTTCTACACCAAATAAAATTCTAATTTGATGTCACCATATTGGTCTAGGATTTCTCGATTTCTCTTTCAAGTGTTGAATGATTACTTTGTTTCACATAAACAAGAGCTCACCTAATTGCTTATTTTAACTTCATTGCAGATGCAACCTTGTTGATTTGATGGTCGAAATAGACCGAATATTGCGGCCAGAAGGCACCGTTATCGTGAGGGATACCCCTGAAGTAATCGACAAAGTAGCTCGTGTTGCTCATGCGGTGAGGTGGAAACCTACTATATATGATCAAGAGCCTGGATCACATGGCCGGGAGAAAATCCTAGTTGCAACAAAGACTTTCTGGACTCTCTAATTCTCATCTCACTAACAGATTGAGGTAAAATTTACTTTGAGAATGGTGGTTTTGAAGTTATCAAATACATGCATCAAAGGGATGTGGTTTCTCTTTTTGTTCATTGTGTATACAACAAGGAGAAAGTAAGGTTAGAATATGAGAAAAATGTGAAAACTTTGTGAAGTTTTTTTATATGAAAGGCACAAGCCTATGTTAGTTATATTTTGTCTTAAATATAAGGATAACTTGTAATTTTATAATTACTTATAATCATTGAAAAACAATAATCACTGTTATCTTTTGGCTATTTTATCTTTGTTCTTCTTAATATGTGCCTAGTAATTTTTTTAATTAAGTTAGCAAGATATGATAAAATAAAATTAGAGAAAAATAAATTTTTCATTTATTCGTATAAAGTGAAAAATAGAAGTCTACTAAAACATAAATTTATTTTTAAATCAAAATAAAAAAAAATTTATCATTTAAATACATGAAAAATAAAAAATAAATCAATATGAAATATGAAAATTAATATAAAATTTTGGCTTTTTTTTTTCAATAAGGAAAAAATTTGTCATTTTCAGGTAATAAATATTATTTCATTATATGGTTTATCTAAAATATAATAGAATGATATATGATATATGGTAAGAGCAAATCATATTGTATATTCAATCCAAATTATTTGTTCACAACCATATGCTATTTTGCTCATAATAGTTTGGCGTGGTGGAAAAAAAGGCGAGTGAATTAGAAATTAGAATTTTAAATCCATTAAACGTAGGTTGATTGATTATTTTAACAAATTCATGATTTTTTCTATAGAAAAATACGGTATGTGTTTAAAGAAATGAAAAGAATAGTAAAAGAGCTAATAGCATGATGTTTTAGGAATATGAGACAAGAGACAACATATTAGTACCCCTATTTCCTTTCCTCTAATATCAAATTGAGTGTGCTATTTAGTTTTTGTCTTTGTGCTCGAATTAGAGTTAGATTGTTACGGTGGTTCGGTGTTTTCAATGTAGTGGTGAAAGGTTGACAAGTTCGGTGTTTTCAATATAGTGGTGAAAAGGTTGACATGGAAAATTAACACTTTAGTACTCAAGTTAATAATATAGTGAAAAATGGAGTTTGAATGAGAAAATATTTGAATATCTGAAAAATGACTGAAAAATGACGTGTTTTTTTCTTTAAATAGCGAGGTGGTTAGCAATTGAATACGTGTGGTGAGGTGTGAGATGCGGTCAACTATCAAATTGATCTGGACGATCGAGAGAGCCCTCACGTTAGAGATTACGCGTTTATTTAGAGAAACGAGCCCACCTATTCTATGTTAAAAGCTTAATCGAAACAATTTCCTCTCAAGCCCTTGTATCTGCCTTATAGAGTTTGTGACATGTATTTTTATGTGGTACATGAGTCCGTGGATGTGGACGCCTTTGACAGGACGTCAATACTCTTGGGAATAAGCACATTAAATACTTTCCTTAAAAAACATATCATGATGTTGAGAAGGGTTGACATGTTTCCTTACGCTAGTTAGAAATTATATTTTTCATTATTTAAGATACTCAAGTGTTTTTTGAACCATTTTCGAGAGGATTTCCACGATAGTGCGAGTTAATCGTATGATCCACAATGCTTAAGTGGGCTATAAAGGGATTTCGAAGCAACATTTTACTTTTTCTGCTACTATTGACCTGCAAAGGGGACACCCATGTTTCTTTTATTTTTAGGAGTGTTTTGTTCACGCGTTGGATCAAGTTCATACGACTTTGATTGCTAGCACTATCCTTGTATATTTGGTTGCTATTTCTTCTGAGTTCTATTGTTCAACATTTTTCGCTGCTCTCTTTCCACCTTTCTAGGGTTTCTAAGATATTAAGTGTTTCGAGCTTACTCGTTTGTTGCGTTATACCTGCATTTGTTTCTTTTACAAGATATTATACAAGATATTTAATTATGGTTATTATGTCAAATTAGACCAAGAAGGCGGATAAAGATATTTTATGGGATTGAGTGGATTCAGAGGTATTGGAGACTGTTTCAGATTTTGTTATTGAAGATGTTTTTACTCAAGCTATGACTAGTGTGGGTCATGTGGCTGGCAGAAGAGTGTTTCTCCCAAATGAAGATGAGAGGATATGCATATACGATGGGTGCAACTTCCTTCTTATGAATGCATGTTCTCTCTCATAGATTATCACCTTTCCTTTAATGAATTTGAAGTTGGCATACTAAACCATCTACTTATTTCTCCTTCACAATTACATCCAAAGAGCTGGGAAGTTGTCAAAGTTTTCAAGCATTAGGGTGAGTATAAGGGGAACATTATTTTGTGACATTGTTCTTCTATCATTTCAAAACTCAAAATAACCCCAACTTTGCGAATGAATCGAGTATGCTTTCTTTGAGGCAATGTATCAAATATTTTGAGGCTTATTCTGATAGCGTGAAACATTTCCATTATCACTTTTTTCCTGGTCACTCCTCTTAGAGAAGAGGAGCACACACACATATATTACACTTAGAGCCTGGTTCTTCGCCCGTATGCACAAACTTTTTTCACAACTATTAGACTCAAATCCACTACTTGAAGGTGGCATGAATGTATCATATAAAGAGTGGAAACTGTTCCAGGAGGAGTTATACTTGAAGAACCAGTTTGTGGCCTTCTTATAGGAGCTTGATTACGTTGGTGGAGTTTTCCCTTCTGAATTGGCGTCTAGAAACCAATTGAAAAGGTGCATACAAATCCGCTGGTTGGTGGATACCAAATCAAAGGAGGAAAGTAATATTTTTTGGTAAGTGGTAATAGAGCCTTATTTTTCTACTTCATTTCTTGAATCCCTTCAGATGCCTTTTTTCTTGATCGTGTAGGTGGGATGAAAAGCGAAGATTCTATGCGACAATTAAGGAATGAGATTTGGGAAACGGTTGCTTTGATACATAGCAACTGTGTTCTTCAAGATGAAGAACACGACGTTGTATCGATAATTGGTGTGCTCCATCATGAAAATAATATTGTCATTATGTGCTTCATGCATAGGAATTTGATTGTACTTGAAATATGCATTCATAAATGAAAATAGTTTGTACCCGAGTGAATAGTCCACTATCATTGTTAGAAAGTAGGTATGAATATTTGAGGAAAACCCGATTGAGATTAATGTATTCAACCACATCCTTCACTCGCCTGATACTTTTTTTCTTTCACCAAGACAACATTAGACAACAATACAGTGTACTTTAGTTAAGAAATGAAATTTGCTTGTAGTAACGCTTAAACGTTGTTCCTAGTTGCGTCAACTTTTTCAAGATATTATCACGTTCTTCTCTGGGCCATGTATCTGAAGGAAAAAAAATACTATTTAACTAATGGTAGGCCACATTGGGGTAAATATTAGGGCTGGTAGATCGACTCCTATCTTCATCATTTTGGATATATTTTCATTGACTTGCTTGACTTTAAACTCTCGATCTAAAATTGGTCTTGGGGTTTTTACTCTTTCCTCAGTCATAATGACCCCCGTCATCCATTATTGTTTTTTCTAAGCATGCGTTGAAGTTCATGGTATTGATGCTTGGTTAGCTCCAGTTAGGGACGAAGATCTTCCTCGTTTACCTCACTTGATGGAGGGCTGTCATAGCTCGACCGGTTAATAGTATCTCATATATCGAGCAGGCTCCAGATCTGTTTACTTGGATGGTAATTAGTTTGTCATAGAGGTTGTGGTATTTCATCTTCAAGCGGACAACCGAAGTGGCCATGTCGAGTGTCACGAAGAAAAATCTTCCTAGGCTACATTTGTAAGCTTTTTCGTAAGGGACCACCAAAACTTGCACGTTTACCATCCTTATTTCCTTTTCTTATCCCAAAGAGAATGATAAATCTATAGTTTCCTAAGGATGAGTTATAATTTTTTTGAACACCTGCAGATCTATGTCGTCGTAAGGTGATAATCCTCATTTGTCGAGTCTCAGTTCCTTGAATAGACCGATCTACATGATGTCGCATGAGCTCCCTTTGTCAATCAAAATTCTTTGTACTATATGATTAACTATTTTAGAGGTTATTACCAATTAAAGCACTTTGTTTGGAACACCACCCACTCTCCCTAAATCTCATAACTCTAGAATTGGTCTCTCATTCCTTGAATCTCATTTTTTGTCATTTTCCTATAATATCAAGGTATTTCTCTTCGCATCTCTCTTGTCTAGCTTCTTTAGACCGGATGGTCCTTTGCTAATTGAAGAGACAATAGGATATGGTAATGGGTGGATGATTGAAATTGGAGCAGGGATTCCACTTGCATGATCGGGTGTTGCCATTCTCAATTGAGGGAATTGTTGGCAAAATGCATAACAAAAAGGAGTTGATGAGTTCGAAGTGGAAATTCGTGATAATTAGAAGATGATTCCCACATAAAGTGCCACTATTCCGATACAGAACACTAGATTGATTAAATGTAGATAATAAATTATTTCGGCGCGACGGTGCATGTCTCTGATATTATAGAGTGAGAGTATGTCTGCGAGATTAACACTTTAATGCTCAAGTCAGTAAGATCAAAGAAATTTATCTTAATAGAATAAAAAAAAATGCATGCTATATCATATAGTCGGACTTATATATGAAGGGCGATTAAAACTTCTCTTGATTTGCTTAACTTAGAATGCCAAAGACTGTCGAATTATATTCAGTGGCTAAAAATGTGCGAATAGCCCGGACCTGGTGTGTTGTCCTTTGACAAAGGTCTATCTATCCAATATTCTTATACAATAGTATTTTGGATTGAATTTTTGATGTTGGACAAGTTTTGTTAGACCATTTTAATACCTCAAAATATCTATTAATTATTGACAAAATTTAAGAATCAGAAAGTTATAAAAAAAATTATTCAAATTTGTTCTTTTTAACAAAACGCATTTTCTATTTTTTTCCCATAAAAAATAGGAACAAAATCTCATGATATATAACAACTATAATCCATATAAGACGGGTTCATGAGAAA